GTAGTCCACGCAAGCACGCCATTTTTCATTCTTCTTTGGTACTACTGCTGTATTGGATATCCACCTGGGATAGTGCACTTCTATGATGGCTCCTGCCTCCAGCAAGTTTCCCACTTCCTCTGCCACTATCTTCGTGTGGTGAAGTGCTGATCTGCGAGTACGCTGTATTATTGGTCTGGCAGTTGGGTGGACATTTAGTTGGTGACAGATGAAGTTTGGGTCAATGCCAGGCATGTCGTATGGTGTCCAGGCAAACACTTCGATGTTTGAGGTTAAGAATTTCATGACCTCTATTCTCTCAGTGCTGGATAAAGACGAGTTGAGCAAAAAGAACTTTTCTAGGTTCTTCTTATCTATCCTTACCTCTACCAAGTCCTCCACTGCCTTTTGTTCAGCTGCCTTGCCAACATCCACAAACAGTTCATTGCTCTCTAGCTCTTCTACCATCTGTACATACCCTTTTGCAGCTCGGCTGCCATTTACTGTGACGAAGCACTGTTTTGACATGATTTGGTCTCCTAAGACCTTTTCAATTACTCTGGCTTCGTTGGGAAACCACAATGCTTGATGGTAAGTTGACACTACCGATCGCATGGCGTGCAACTATGTTCTCCCTAAGATTATGTTGTAAGTGGAAGGGACCTTCAATACCCAGAATTCCACTTGTTTTGTCATGGTTCCAGTTTTGACTGGGAGGATTATCTTGCCCACTAGCCACTCTAGCATTGAGTTTAAGCCGACTAGGGGAGATATTGTAGGCGCCAAGTCTTTGTCTTCTAGTTTCAGCTGTTTGAAGGTTTCGTAATACATTATCTCGCATGAACTTCCTTGGTCAATCAGGATTCGCTTGATGTCAAAGTTCTCGATGGGCAAAGTTACCACCAGTGCATCATTGTGAGGGCAATGTAGCCTTACTAGGTCCTTGTCTGAGAAGGATATGACGTTCGTAACCTCTGTTTTGCCCTTTTTGATGGCAGGTTGTGCACTTAATACCTCTTTCAAGTGCTCTACCTTCTTTATCATCCCTTTGAGTTCACATACCCGCTCAGGTTCGACGATCCCATGGATAACGTTGATTATGCCCTGGGGTGGACTGTCGACTGGCATCCCGTTTGGTCCGTTGAGGTCTTGGGGGGCGGGCTGTGTTCCCCCTTCTAAGTACTGGTCCAGGTGACCAGCAGCTACCAACTCTTCTAGATATTGCCTCAAGGGTGTGCAGTTTTCAGTTAGGTGCCCCTTTTCATCCTGGAAGGTGCAGCGGGACCTCTCGTCGTAGCCCCTTTGTGCTTTTCCCAACTTGGCTGGCCGCTGAATGAAGGGTTCATTCTTTATCTTGCTGAGAATCCAGTAGATGGGTTTATTGAACACGGTGGTGATGACAGTGCGGACTTTTAACTTCCTTTTTTATGGATCCTCCCTATTGGCCCGCCTGCTTCGCCCATTGGGTGCTTGGCTGTTCTACCGTGTTGACCTTTGCTGTAGACTTTTTGTCTGGCATTACTGTTGAGCCAGATTTTGCTTTAGCACAGGCACTGTCTTCCTCTACACGGATATGTTGATGCACCCTCTCCATTAGGGCCTCCATCGTGAGGGGCAGTATCATAGTAATTGAGTCCCTTAATTTGTTTCCGACTGGTAAACCCCTTTTGTATTGTGCGATGGCGAGATTTGTGGGGCAATCCCCAATCTGGTTGAAAGTCTCCCAATATTGACTATTGTAAGACCTCAATGTCTCCTTTTCGTCCATGTCAATGGAGAATAACTGATCAATCTCCACTGGTGTCTTGGTGTTCGTTCTGAATCTAGTCATGAACGCTTCTGCCAATTGCGCCCATGAGGCAATGCTGCCTTCTGGTAGCCTTTCGAACCAAGTTAGACCTAGGTTGCCAAGGCTGGATGGGAATGGGATACACATTAGGGTCTCGTTTCGCCGGTATACTGCCATAACCTAGCGAAAGTGGCTTAAGTACATGTAGGGGTCCGTTTTCCTCTCATACGTATATTGCCGGAATGAACGGCGAGCCCTATAACCTCGCTAATACCTTATCCGTTGGTTCGTAAGCAAGGTGAGGCATTGGCATCCCTACCTCGACACTCCCATGTGTCCTAGGGGCCAATCGTTGTAATGCTGAAACTCTGCGAGGATTGCGAGCCCTGGTGTCTTCCTTCCACCGGGCCCTCTCCTTGAGCACTGTCCGTAAGTCCGCTGACCTTGGCAACTCCGTGTGCCTAGAAGTTGTTTGGTGCGTGTGCGAGGGGTGATAACTGTTTCCTCTGTATACGGCATTTCAGTCCTCGTTCTCTCAGACCTGGAGTGACTATACCTTGACTGAGTGTCGCCTGTTCTAAGGCTCCTACTTTCTGCTTGTGATGGTGTGACCTGCCTGTCACGATCTTCTGAGTGGCGAGAGGGCATGCTGCCTTTGCGCCTCTCTTCTGTCGTCATCCTTTTTTCCTTTATCTGGCGCTTCATGTCTCCATGTCTGCCGCCATCTTCCTTATTAACTCGTCTTGTTCCCTAACGCGATCCTCCAGAACTTGAGGGTCTAACCTTCGTCTCTGTCTTTCGGGACTTTGAGAGCGATGGGGACTAGAGCCTCGTCTTTCCCGTGTGTCCCTCCAGCAGTTCCGTCGCTGGGGTTCTAAGTCCGCCATGGGAGGGATAGAGGGTAAACCTTTGTGCCTCCCACCCCCCTCCGGGGTTTGTCCGTCAACAGCAGATTGCGACAAATCTTCATTGTGCGCCATTGGTTTCAGTTGGAAAGGAAAACTTGATCAAAAGGTTTTGTTCTTTCTGTATTTTCCCACAGATGGTGCCAATTGTACGAGCACGAAATAATGTTATCGTATAATTCTGTTGATCAAGTTTGCGCTCCTCCAAACGTCGTCGCTTTACTGCCTATAAACACAAACGTGAGCTAGCCAGCGGGTGTGTGCTGGATACCTCTCCGATGCCTAAGTCAGCAAAATAGACAATAGACAAAAAACTGTGCGTATTCTAGAGTCAAAATTGTGATACCTGTCCATAGGTCCTGTTATGAGCTTTTATGGATTTTGCCTGGCACAATCCTAGTAGGACTCTTATTCCTTAATGTAGAGTCCTTCTAGGAATCACACTTCTGAAAGATAATGCTTATCCTTCAACACCCTTCTTACTACTTTAACCAAGTGAAATGGTTAACAAATCAACCGAGCTAACACATGTTGAAGCGGAAGATTTCACCAAGCTTTCCCTAGCTCGGTTCCACCTTGCTGTACTTAGCTCGGTTTTTACCTCACTTTACTTAGCTCGGTTTCTACCTTACTTTGCTTAGCTCGGTTCCACCTTGCCTTTACAACACGGCTCCTCCATTCCTTGGTTCAAAGTACTCAAACCGAGCTAACCAGAGTCATTCATGACCGTGCTAACAAGGCCTAACGGCAAAGCCCATTCTGCTCAGCCCACAAATCGGCTCACTTCTACCCAGTCCTAGCTCGGCCCAAATTTACACATTTTACCCTCTCAGTACTAATATTATAAATATCATAATTAAATCACTTTCAATCATAATTAAAATATAAAAAAAAAACAATGGGTCATAACCAAAATTCACTTGAGACATAACTAAAGACCTCATTGGTCATAATTAAAATAGTAACCACAATATGCCATAATCAACACCATAATAAGTTATAAACCAAATATCATTTGAGGTATAATTAAAAAAAATTTGATCATAACCAAAGTAACAATTACAATAAGTCATAATTAAATCATAACCGACACTATAATGAATCATACCTAAATCATAACAAACATCACTATTGATTATAACTAAGAATCGCAAAATTCCTAATTAAACATTTTATTTTGAACAAACTTCACTTTGCCTCATGTGGTTTGAGTCATGTACAGTTTACCTCTTAATGTTTGGAAATAATCACATAACCCCCACGTAGTTTGTGGACTAAAGTGTACCGTTAAATATTTAGTCCAATTTAATAGCAAGTGTAAAACATGTGACAGATATAAGAAGGTTATATGCTTATTTTCAAATTTCAAGGGAGCAAATCGCATATGGAATAAAACAAAAGGGGCTAAAATGAACTTACCTTTCAAACAAATGAAGAAAATACAAGGGTATTTTAGTCTTTTTTATTAAATCGTTAACGGCTTAACAATGTGCTTCAGTCCACAAACAACAAGGGGGTTGTGTGGTCAATTCTACATATTAAGGGCATAAACCGCACATAACCCAAACTATAGGGGGTAAAGTGAAGCTTATCCTTTTTCTTTTGACTGGAATAGTTAAACATATAATACATATCATTTTTATTGTGTGAATTATAGAATTTCTCTCTTCACATAGGGATGAAGGGAGCATAGGCCCAGTGCCCCTCCTCAACTTTCTAAAATCTATGTTTTAGTATAGGTTTATAAATAGTTCTTTCAATTTGCCCCCTCTAAATTTGATTATATACTCTTATTTTTTTCTTTGTTTTAAAATAGTTCTTATAATTTGCACTATTCAAATGTTCATTTTATGACAAAAATCACCTTTATGATGTTATAAAGTCTATCTTTAAATGTTTGTTTTCTTATTTTTGATAATATTTGCTAGTTAGTTCTTATTGGTATTTTTTTCCTGTTCCGTGACAAATATATATACAAATATGTAGAATGATTATTTATTTTTTTTGATGAAATCTCTCAATAAAATAGTTTATTTTGTTTGGATAAGATCATTACAGTCTAAGTCAATGTCATGATTAGAAATAAGGGTGAAGTTTATTAGAGTCGAAGCGCAGCAGAATGGGTAACACTATTATAGACATAACATTTTATTTTACTATTATCTAAGCCAAAATTCTAACTTTGCTATTGCGTCAGGTATGTTTCATGCCACCACCAATTGTTTACAGTATAGAAGATGTGGCTAGGTTCATTATTTTACAAACAAACTATTTTTACTTCAACATTGCCAAATATTAACATTAGTTTCTCTTTAATTACTACGTAGGCAATGAGGATGAAATTGACTCTGAGGAACGTGTCTTTGACTTTGACACTGACTTTGACATTGACGTTGACGAACTTGTCGTAGATGACGATGACTTTGCCGAATATAACTTTGATGAACGTTGTCAGGTATTAACAATTGCAGATTATCAACTCTTTAGAGGAAAGGTTTATGCATACATATCCTATTGATACACACACAGACCCAAAAAAAAAAAAAAAAATGTCATCGCACAAAATATGTTCTTATTTTTACCAATTAACTTTATTTTTGAGAAATGCTAAGTACGGAAATTTTATGGTAGTTTGCATCATATGCATTTTTAGTTAGATTTACATGTCATTTGTTATGACTTTATAGTGCTGTTATTTATGACATTTTGTAATATTAGTTATGACATTATTTTATTTATGATCCAAGAATTGTTTGGTTATACTTCATGTGATGTTTGGTTATAACTCAATTTTGTTTTTTAAAAAAAATTATGATTCCCATGGTATAAAGCTATGACATTTATAATAATCAAACTCACAAATGACATATCTTGCATATAACATCCTTGCATCAATTAATGTTCTTCTTCCTATTTTAATATGCTCAGCTTTAAACATATCACAAAGAATTATCTAGTTCAAACATATGCTAATGCAATCGTTCTTTCTACAAAAGAGGATGTAATTAGATTTTGCTTTCTTTCTTTCTTTTTTTTCTTTCTTTCTTTGTTTCCTTACTCAATGACTAGCAACTTGTAAGTTAGGGAATGAGATTAAGACTGAAATGTATACCATTGAGGCCTATAATTGAGATTTCTTAACCCTCTTCTTATTGCAACTTTGTACATTTTACCAATGTTCGATGTGAATCATGTTCGATATGTTTGAAGTACAAAATGAGCCAAAAAATGATATTTTAGTTGAAAAGAGCGGAGGGTCATTCCTACACTTGCGGCCCTCTTCCTAAAAATCAAAATGAACTGCATAATTTGCACGTGCAGAGGGTTTTTCCCACACGTGCGGAGTCTTTCCCGTATGTGCAGCCTTTCCCACATGTGCGGCCACGTTGATTTTTTAGCACTTTTTTTTTTCTAAAGTCACTTGTTTTGCTAGAAAGAATAAGATGAGGAAAAAAAAGGCTGTTCTAGGGTTTGGAAATTCTCTAAAAAAATAGGCAAAGGAGGCTAGGGCTTTGGGATTGAAGGATTGGAGGTCTTCCATGACGGCTTCTTCATCATCTTTCTAATCCTTCATGAGCGGCTAGGCTTCTCTTTCTAAGTTTTTGATGATACACTAGCCATGTACATAGAGTTTTAACTAGGCTTTGATTGTTTAAACCGTTTGAGCAAGTTGTATGAATGTTTTAAAAGTTTTAATTTCTATTCCTTTCAGTATTCTACTTTCTGTGCTTATTGAATACTTTTCACATAATGGTTTGTTATGTGTTGTACTCGAAGTATGAGACGAATCATGCTATGAGAGATGAGTCATATTGCTATCATAATTTAGAACAAATGACTTGTACTACTTGAAATGATTCGTGCCTATACGTTGAATTCAACAATCCTTTAGATAATTGTTTCAAACTTGTAGTTGTGAAACATTGAGTAGTTCAAACCGTATTGCAATTAGATGTCAATATTAAACCCTATTTACGCAACTAGTGGTGGATTCTTTGCCCTAGGATTTTTCCCAAATCAAATTCTCAACCTTAATCTTTAGTGCTAATTTAAAATTTTGAGTAAATTACAAATACACCCCGTGAAGTTTGATTAAAATACGAATCGCCTCATGTGATTTTAGAAATTACATTTCACCCTCTGAGGTTTCTAATTTCATACCAAATCGCCCATTTTATTAACAAATTATCAAGTCAATTAACAATTTTTAATGATGTTAGAAATATATTTCAATTAATAATTTAAGTAATTTATTATTCTAAGGAGAGCAACTATGAATTTCATTTTTTAGTTAATCTGTTAAATAAAAAATTCTGAAAAGAGGGTATTTATAATTTTTCGAATCACAAGGGGCAATGGCCCTGTTTGGTAGGCCTTATTTCCAGCTTATTTCAGCTTTTAGCTTAATTTAAGCTATTTTGATGTGTTTGGTTCAACTTAACAATACAATTTATAACTTTTTGTAAGTCAAAAATCAACTTATTCTTCGAGTGGGGGAGAAGAAGTTTAATTTATAAGTAAAAAATCAGCTTATGTTCACAGTTATAAGCTATAAGCTGTTAGGCTATAAGTTATAATCATTTTCCCACAGCTCTACCAAACGGGGCCAGTCTATACTTTAAGCAAACCTCAAGGGGTGTATTTGTAATTTACGCTTCAATTTTCTAGTTATTATTTTAATTCTCGCTTTAATTTAATTATCATCAATTATTCTTGTCTAAATTAATCTAGGAATCTTGCCATTAAAATTAGTTGAATTTCACATTAGTCCTTGTGAATTGATACTTAGACTTGTCATTATTTTACAGAATTTAAGTATAGTTTGGACCTTATTTTTGTTGTGTTTAACGGCCCACCAATTACCATTATCACCTCTCTACCATCAACCACCCTATAACCACCATTGTCACTACCATTACCATAGCCACCACCCCAACCACCACTATCACAACTCACACCACCGCTACCACGACTATTAGTATCATCATTTTTAGAGTCCTAACCAAATATATAACAATGTTTTCTACTGAACAAATTTTTTGAAAAACCTCTCATAGATTTTTGTTTCGCCTTCAGAACAAACAGAGCATAGTATGTAGTAGTTTGTATAGAGGCTTCTTTTTAATGAAAGAAATAAATTTATGCTAAAATAAAAGTACAAACAAATAAATGGAATATATATGTTTGTACTTTGTTCCTGTTTTAGCATTTTTATTCCTTTTGATTTTTCTAATAATTTTCTTCTTCTTTTGAGGTTAACCTAATAACTATTTAGCTATGCTCTTTTTTTTTTTTTTTTGGCATCTCTGGATTTGTTATTTAAACTGACTAAGATACGACATATGTTGTTGAGACATCCATGTCTGTTCGAAAGAAAAGAAAGTAAAGAAAAAGAAACATATATATATATATATATATGAGAACATGTGTTTGTTCTTTTTTTACTATTTTTCTTCTCTCTAGTTTTTTTTTTTTATAAACTATTTAGATTTGGCTTTTTACTCACAGGTTATTTTTGAGGCATGATTTTCTCAATTTCTATGAAGATCAAGAAGTTGGAGAAACCAACCAAGGTTACACGGTGGTCTCATATATCTATAGAAACTATTTAGTTGTTACGATTACGTTTTATCGAACTATTGTCTAAATTTAAATAAGCTATTAGCTTTTACTATTTGCTCTTTGTAGTGTGTGTTCTTGTTTGTTGCGTTGATGATGCTACTACCAAAACCTTGTGTTTTGTGGTTACAATTGGACTTACTTTATTATTAGCCATGTAATAATTTATGGTGAATTTGAAATTTGTGTTTTGTGTGCAATTGCACCAATCTCACGAGTGATTGTCAATATTTTTGAATAAATTACAGAGGAGACTCAAAGAAGTTGCTTTTAATCTTAATGTGGGTTGATTGATTGAAAAATGGACAGTGGCATGTATAAACTTCTAGGTTGATATTACTCTATAGTTATAGTCCTTACAATAATATATTTTTCGTTTAAATTCTTAAAGTTTTGATTTTGTCAATTAAGTCATTAAAATATTAAATTTCAATTAATTTAATCCTGAAAACAATACAAAATAAAATATAAATTTTATAGTAAAATTTTAATCTGATTCACAATAAGTTTTATTGTGAGATAGTGTAAAATCTTACTATTGAAATTAATTTCAACGGTAAAAGTTTTATGAATTTTTTTAAAGAATTTCATAAATTTTATTTAATAGATCTTGACGAAAGAATTTTAAAAATATTAATTTTATTAAAAAGCGATGTCTAAATCAAAAGTTATATCAGTTTGAAATTTAATTTTTTTTTAGATAAGAATTTAAAATTTAAAATATTAAATTACTCATTAATGATATTTTTGATAATAGTGATGTGTAATGGACTTTTCAAGAAAAATTTGTGTTTGTCCTTAATGTATGAAAATTTTATTATGAGGGAGTTTTGACCAAATTTCCCTTTAAACAATTGTTGTTTGTAAAATTATGACATATTGTTTTATGTTTTGAGTGTGTCGTGATCATATTGTAAATAATGACAGTATATAAAAATTGTTGTTCCAAACTGAAGCAAATTACATTTTCGAAGTTTGATTTGATAAAGGATTGTTTGGGATGATCCAAATAAGTATATTTTTTGATTTTTTACAAAAAAATATGTAAAAAAATAGAGAGGTGATGTGACCCAAATAAGTGCATTTATTTAATTTATGCCAAATAGTACCTAGTTCCAAAATTTTAATAATTCAGTTTGATTTAAATTTCATAAAATCGCAAATAGTGATTTAGTCCGAACCATGCTTATCCCTATACCTATCCATTTTCAGTAATTCTACGAATTTGGAATTTTCATCCCGAATTTTATCTAGAAACATCAATCTATGGTTCAAATTCATTTATATGTAAACCCCATACTATATCAATTGAATCTTTACTACACAAATACAACATTAATAAAAATATAAGCTGACAAGTCTGGGACCATAACATTAATGATCCATTTTTCATCTATAGTTCTTAGTAATAGCCCAGTCTAGAAGATTTCCTTGCAAGTGAGAAACCCATTTGACATCTCTTATTCAAGAGGTTACAAAATTGCATAACAAAACTGGGCAGCGTTCAGTAGAAACCAGATTTAAACTATAAATTAATGCATTACCATAAAAAATAAAAAAATAAAAAGGGACAATTATATCAAAATAAGCCCAAAACTTTTAATTTTGTCAATTTAAATTTTAAATTTTTTATTTGTTTTCAATCTAAACCATTTGTCTATTTTTATCAAGTAAAAACAACAAAAAAATAAATAATATTTTAGTCATTAAACTCAAATAAAAATAATATTTTAGACATTTTGTGTATACTTATATTGAGTTTAATGACTAATTTTTTTTTTCCCTTTGATTTTAATTAATAAAAATAGATGAACGGTTTAGATAGAACACAAATCAAAAGATTAGGGTTTAAATTGATAATATTAAAAACTCATGATTTATTTTGTTAAAAGGCTCAAATCTTGAATTTCTCTTGTAATTGTCCAAAATTATATACAAATTACTATAATTTGTTGGTTTACAAATCTAAACGCAAAAGCCAAAAACAATCCCTACTCGGCTTCAAGTTTTTTTTTTTTTTTTATAGCTTTTTGAAATATTTTTTTAGCTCACAATTTATTAGCAAAATTGCACCAAACTCTGAAAAACACATTCTAACTTGCACCAAACAACACCTAACACACTGAACTTTTCAAACCAACCTCAAAAACATTTTCATCATTATTAGTAAAATGGTTGTATGTTCTGTCAATACAAAGACTCTGCTAGTTGCCAAGATTTCAAGCACCAAAAGAACATTCACATTTTTTCCAGACTCCCAAACAAAACCTCCCTTAAGGTGCAACGTTCATATCTACAGAACATGACATGGAAGCATCGGTATGAACAATCTCACAACACGTTTTTTGTCTGAGTGGACCGAGTCGAGTCAAATCAAATCGAGATATATTTTGAAGTATTCAAGCTCGGCTTGCTAAAAATTTGTCAAACTCAAGCTCAAGATGAGCTCAACAAACTTAAAAAACCAGAGCTTAAGCTTGAGTTCAGTTCGAGCTAATTCGATTATATAAAAGAGCCAAACTCAAGTTCGAAAAGAATTTTCTTTTTATTTTTTATTTTTTATTTTTAAAAAAAGAACACTAAACTATAATGCACATTAAGTGAAAAAAGGCAAATATTATGAGCACCCCAAAAAAAACATGTTATTAATAAATTTTATCAATCAAATATTTAAATTTGTAGAAACACATAAAATATATTTGATATATCATTAAGAATAAATATTAAATTATGTAACTATATTCACAAGCTTAATCTAGTTGAGTTTGAGTCTACTCAATCTTGACTCAATACTAAACGGAGTCCGGATCATCTGCGGTGTTTTCCTGCGGCGGTACCTGTGGTGCCCCAAAACGACGTCGTTTTGGGGCAATTTTTTTTTTTTTTTTTTTTTTTAAAAAAGAGACACACAAAACCAGAGAAAGAGAAACAAGGAAGAAGAAAGAACAAAACCAGAGAAAAAGAAACAGGGAAGAAGAAAGAAGGCATCTCCAATCTTCAATATCTTAACATCTCAAGCAGCAAAATCGAAGGAAATTCAAAACCCATTTTGATTCTTCACTCATTGAATCACATTGATTTGTCAAACAACAAAATGGCTTTTTTTTTGTAATAAACCTCTCACTCAACAGCTTCAATGGTCAAGAGATTTGGAAACTTTGCTTTTCTTCTTGCTCGTAATTTTAATTTCAACACTTCAAACACCCAAAATTTCATAAATCCATCTCACAAATCACCCAAAATTATATAAAATCAAAGAAATCTGAAAAATCATATAAAACCAAAGAAATCAAAAATATATACATACATGTAATATATATATATACAAAAAATAGAAAGCAGCAGAACTTATTCCAGTCGTCATTCGTCCATCGTTGGTTGTCGCCGGTTGAATATCAATCAAGAAAGGAAAATAAACCCAATATGAGATTGAAGAAATATGACCTAAACATGATAAACAACAACAAATAATCGAACGAGTGTTTGGGATAAACATGATAAACAACAAATAATCAAATAGATAGGTACATTTATGATGAATATCACTGAAAAAAAGAAAAGAAGACCAAAAACCTAGATTGTCCCCATGAGGGTTCAAGAGAGAGAAAGCTGAAACAATTCTGAAAAGCATGGTATTTGTAGAGAGAGAAGCAGAGAGGATTGTAGAGAGACAACATGAGAAGGAAAAACAGGGAAAGATGAGAGGGTTAGTTCGGATCATCTTCCGTCGCCGTCGTTTGGCCTTGTGGCCGCTGCCGCCTAGCTTCGCCTCACCACCGTCTCTGTGGCCTCACTTCATCGCCGTCTGCAGTGTATGGGTTAGGTTCTCAGCTCTCAATGAAAATGACAACCAAAAAAAAAAAAAAAACTCAAAACGACGTCGTTTTGAACCATGGCAGGGAACGCCGCAGGAAAACACAGCAGAGGATCCGAACTCATACTAAATGAGTTTAAAAATTTAATTTGAAATTGTTTATTTAGTAAATTAGTCAAACTCAAATGAGTTTTAAACAAGCTAAGTTGTATTATTAATTAACGGCTCAATTCATTTGCAACCCTACACATAATGAGCTCACATTGTACATTTCATTTGGAATTTTGTACGGACAAAGCTAAGTCATGACATGGCATGAATGGAGCCAAAGGGTAGCATCTGTACGGTAACCTTGTACAAACAAAAAACATAATAATTTATATATTGAATTATATATATATATAATAATATTCATCCATTGAAAAACAAAAAATCTAATCATTTTGCGTTCATTACTGTAAAAAAATGACGCCCAAAGAGATTCTGCACAAGTTTTTTTTTTTTTTGTATAAAGAAAATATTTATTTTTAATATTTTCCTTGTTTTCGTAATCAAAATGGGGGTTAATCCGGGTCACGACTTCTCACTTTTAGTTAGCTTTAATTTTCTATTGATTATATTTTATTCTATACGAGTAGGGGAAAAAAACACATATAACAAATAACAATAATAATAATCATAAGGTGATTTATTTCTATCTTGCTATGTTGGCATTAAGAGGATCAAACCCTCTGCATGTTAAAGATATCAAGGTTGAAGAACCTTCTAGTGCATCAGATGCAATCTCAGCTACAGCTCATGCCAGTTTAGCTTCAACATCACTACCAGATCATATTCAGCGTCAGCCCAAGGTTCATCAGCTCAAGCCTCACTGACAGTTATACCTTTCAGTTGTTTTCATAACTGATGGTAATTAGTTAGAAGTAGTTAGGATCTGTTAGATATCTCTTGTATAAATATACTCTGTATTACAGATATTTTTCAATGAGAATTGAATTCAGTTTTCCTTCATGGGATCAGAGCAAAATTGAAGCTCTCACGAGCATAACTCTGGGCCATCCATGGCTTCTTTTGAATCATCTCTATCTTCTTCTTTATCCTCTAATCTCAATCTGTTGATCTCCAATCTCAGTTCAGTCATTACAGTTAAACTTGATTCTGCAAATTTTCTGATATGGCGAAGTCAGTTTCAGAATATTTTGCGTGCAACTGAGTTGTTAGATTTTGCAACTGGATCAGTTCCTTGTCCACCATTGCAAATCAAAGATTCAAATGGTGTTAAAGTGCTTAATCCAGATCGAGCACAGTGGAACAAAATTGATGCTCATCTGCTAAGTTGTATAATAGCTACACTCACACCTCCAATTTTTTCTTTTGTTCTTCATTTGAACCATA